TGTAGCTGCATAATGAAGAACTTGGGCTTTAAGCTGCCCCATTCGCCAAGCCCATCCCAATAAAGTTCGCCTTGTCCATTAAAAACTGCACCTGAATAAAATAAATAAAGAGATAGTTTCCAAATAAAAGCCACTATAAGATATTTACCATCTTCTCCTTCAATAACTGCATTGCTTGCATTGATCGCTACTAAAGGCCCTTCCCATTCAGCGTAACCAAATGTGATGGTTCCTCGGAAGTAAAGTGTGGCTTGATCTCTTAAGTTCAGATTCAAAGTTTTCCCAGCAGGTACAAAAATATTTTCGAGAATCAGGACGTCACATATTTCAACAGCCACTTGCACTTCGCTAAATTCAGTTATTTCACATCCTGAAATAGAATGGTATTACTTGAATCCAAGCATTTTATCGAGCTTTAAAGTGACTGGTACTGTACCTTCTTGTAATTTACCAACTGATGCCCGGCCAATAGCTCCTTGGACGAGAAGAAACAACGCAACGAATTTAACCGCCCAAGCACTCATTTTTGCGTTTAAAAAAACTGCTTAAAATGTATGGTTTTCAATGTATTTCGCTGTATATAGGCTTGTGTATTATCAGTAAATCACTTCAGCAGTTATTCCATACACCTTATCTTATTAAACAATATTGAGCACTTCTTAAAAGGAAAAATATTATTATAGGCTGACATCATTTTTTAAATAAATTATGGATGTGGAACGGTATCTAACCAGAGCTGTGATCTAATTTTTCACCGGAAATCTTTGATAAGAACCCACCAAAAATTGAAATTGGAAAAAATTGTCCCCTGCAAATTAGGTATATATGGACACAGCAATAATGTCTGTACTCATTAATCTGCAATTTGTATTTGTTTTCTGAAAAAACTTTCTGTTAAATTTTTTATCATTATCATGAGCATTATTATTATATTTTTTTATTATTTATTTTATCATTATCATTCATGTTTTTTAAACATGTAAATGGGCCATTAGCCGTCCTCTGATTTGCTAATGCTTTACGAGACAATGAGATTACCTATATCAAAGTAATCATGTAACTTAAAATTATATTTGGAGTTCAAGGGGTGCCAAACTGTTGTTCATTTGGCGTTCTAATCAGTAAACAGAATTCGTTTTAAAGCGATTAAATATATTTTTTTACTTACTGTTAGAACACACTCATTTAGACGAGCTAATTAATTATGTTGGCTACCGGTCCGATGAAACCTCGAGGAAATTGAGTAATAATTCAGCAGGCAGACAGATAAACCTGTATTTATCAATTACATTTGGTAATCTACAGGTACAAAATTGCAATAAGCAAGTAAACGCATGAATGCTGTTAGGTCTCAAAGCTTATTTGACCTGTGCCTCGATGAATACCAGCTTTAGACGCGACGGAACATTTTACAAGCATCACCAATAAACAACTGGCTGTTCTTTGGATCACAATGTTTATAATAATCGGAGTTAGCAGATTTTTAACAACGTGATGAAGCTCTTAACGTACCCGTGATGAACTTAAAATTTTATTGCTAACTAATCTAAACCTTATAGGCCATATCACTCCACAGAACGCAGCAACCCCGTATACTATATATCAGATAACAATAACAGAAACCAAGTACATACACACACAAGAACAGCAATATCTCAAAATAATGGATCTTTCGAAAATGACTAATTTTTACAATTACATTTTCTTATCAAACACTGTCTTGAAAGCTTTTGAAATGATGGCAAAATGAGAATCATTTTATTTGAAGTCTTTATAGAATTTTTTTAGACATTTGGGAAAAATCAGGAAACTGTTAGTGTTTTTTATCATTCATTTAATTTTGTCACTATTAATGTCTTATATATTTTGCTTGATTTAAATGTTGTATATAATTTTTCCGCAGTTTTATCGCATTTTTGAAAATACCGTTTTGATTTCTTTGTGATTTCAAGTTTATGACTAAAAAATCAGCAATTAAGGCGTTGCCACTAGTTTTCGTTCGTAACAATACGTATATGCTTAACATACATTTTAAATTGATAATTTGCTTTGTATAATTTTTCAGGAATGTAAAAACGGGCAAATCTTTACGTGCTTTACGTGATTTACATGCAGCTAATTTTTAAGTCCGTTTTTCACAGTTTGATAAACGTCGGTAATTGTTTTTGTTAACTCGCATCTATTGATTTTTTTGCAACACGGATTAGCAACCTTGATAAAATAATTAAAAAAACCCTGGTTTCTACGACACAATTCTATATATTTCCAAAATAAGGTTTGTCCATCATATATGTATATTCTAGAAAGTATCCAATTCCTTACTTTACTTGGCTTGTGTACTGTATTTTTAAACATACTAGAAAATTTTAATTGATTCATTTCGCTCAAATTCTGGTTCTTTCGCGCTTCAAAAAATCAAGCACTTCTCCACTGCTACTGGTATTTTTTCGCAATATCCTATAATGTATTGTTTAGGTCTTAAAATTTAAATTCATGATTCACTTGGTTGGAACTGATTTTGTATAGGGAATCATCAAATTACCATTATAATTTCTTCTCGGCCTCAGGTTTGGGAGTTTCCGAAAAATCAGTTTCCACTTCCAACTTTTCATTTTTTTCTAAACGTTTGAATATCGTGCATTTTCTTAAGACGCCTTACAAGTATTAAATATTGTTCATTACTAAATGGAAAAAAATTAAGGGAAATAAAAATAAAATAAATCAGTAATTTTCCATTACTTATAATGTATTTCAAATCTGTTGAAAAAAAATAAAATCTTCGTTTTTAGTTTCATTTTCACTTAAGAAGCTTACCAGTAACAATCGTTTTAAAATATTTTTCGGGCTTTGAAAATTAAATTGTCGAACAAAAAAATATTTTTTATGGCAGAATAATAAGTTGCAAAATGAGCTTTTTATGTTGATTTAATGTTTTGTTTGCAAGAATGTTTCAATTGCTTAAACCAGAACTTCCACATGCGGAAAGGTAGTTATATATATTATTTGTTTCTAGCAAATGAAATCATCTGGAGTAAAATTACAGCTGTTCTCTCTAGATCCTTCGATCATCACGTTGGCGAAAGTCCAATCAAAGCAACCATCTTCGGCACATAAAATGTAAATTGGCACGGCTGTTATATTAACTGATCCAACAATATTCTCCAGAATCAGATTTCGAATCGGGATGTTGTTTCTAGCCGATACATTTTTGGCACCCCCATAATTTTCCTCGACACCGATGCCTTTCTTAACAATGTTTTAAGTAATGCAGAAACATCAGGAATAGGAAAAGGCTTGAAAGTGCAGAAATATTAGGTACCTATTAATTGAATATCCTGATAAGTCACGTTTTGTATAAGACCCAGTCCAGCATCTACATGAGTTTTTATGTGAATACCATTATCACCACCTGTGACGCTTGAATTTCTAAAAGTTACGTTTTGAAGCGAATTCAACTGTAAGTTGAGCTTCAAGTAATTTGAGGAGTTTTAGTGACTACCAGAATTAAGAGCTACACAGTCGTCCTGGTTGAATACAAGGCTGTTTTCATTCACTATGTTGCTTCCATTCCGCACATTGAATCCATCGGTATTTTTCCCCAGCGGGGCCTTTACACATTAAAAAAAATGTTAAAGTGTGAGCTTAAAATTTTTCAATGAAAGTTACTTGAAATCCTGCCTGGTTGTCGATTAACCATCCAGATAGAAGCACATCAGTAGAGTTAAAGAGCTGAGCACAATGCATGGGTGCGTTTAGAATATTCATATTCTTCATTACTGATTTGTGTAGCTCCAATGCGAAGAACTTAGGCTTTTTGCTTCCAGATGTACCTTTTCCGTCCCAGTATAATTCTCCTTGGCCATTTAAAATACTGTCTGAAATAATTAAGCAAAATTTGAAACTTTGATTGAAAAATTTATTAAGCTGTTTTGTACCTTCTTCACCGTCAATGACCACATTAGTTCCATTGATCATTACCAGATAGTCGCTTCTTTCAGAGTAGTCAAAAGTGATAATTCCCCTAAATTGTACTATTGAATTGTACTTTGGCAACTTTCTACTGCCTCAGTTACTTGGGAAAAATCAGTTACAACACATTCTGTTGACAAAAATGCTTGTTATTGAAGACAAGTGTATATTTGTCTTTTTCATCATATCATCATCATTTAGCATGTATTAATAAATAAAAATTAATAAATCACCTTCTGTTAAACTTCCATGATAAACATCACAATAAACTTCTTGATATAACAATGTAAAGAAACATATTTTGCCAATATCCGGTTTCATTTTGGGCAGCTGAACAAAAACTCCAATCTGGAACTAGTCAACTAGTAGCAATCGACAATCCAGATTAAAATTATCATTAAAACCTGTACTTATGTCGTAGTTTGAAGTATGGTTAAGAGTTCCACATTCGAAAAGATTATTTACTAAAACAAAGAATCGTTTTTATTCCATATTTTTTATAATTGATTTAAAGCTTGTAAAGCGAAATACATGTGTTCTGAGGTTCATAAAGTTATGAAAGGTTTGGGATTCACATTAATCGCGTTTAAAATAATGTTCTATAATAGAATGTTTTTTTGAGACAACGTACAGACAACTTTCTGTAAACAGTTAACTACATGTGAATACAGTGAAATACACTGCCAACAAATTATTTTATTTGAACAACCTTCCACAGCCATGCAGTTAAGGCAATTTCTTAATTATAAATAGAAATAGGCTTTGGATGCCACTCCTTGAATCACGTGAGTTTTTCGGGTTAGTAGTAAAATGGAATTTCTTTCGTTTTTTTTGAAAGGACAAATGGATGAAGAAATTCCATTTTACGACCTAAAAACCCGAAAAACTTACCAGTTTCAATTTTATAATTAATAATATATTTCTGAACTTCTATGTAGTTTTATTTGTTAGTATTTATCTCAATATAAACATACATTATTTATGGCTAAACGAAGAGAATCAAAATTATCCAAACACAGCTACAAATTAACATTGTTGAAACATACAGCTCGATATATATTGTATACATTTATATATTTTACACTTTATTATATTATACAACAGTTTCATCCCGGCACTTTTCTCTCATTGATACTTTATGAGCAGGTAAATATATTTAGCACCCCGGGATTTCTTGCCATCCTCGAAAATTAAAAGTTTATTCTTGTATAAAGACGCCAGGCATTCAAGTACGTATAATCCGGAGCTGGTTAATTATACCCTTTTTAAAACTTGAATCTGCAACATTCTATAAAATATCATAAATTACCCTAAAAACTTGTCTTAAGAAATAGAAAAATATAATTATAGCAAAAGGACATAATATGATGGATGCTGTACTTTGTAATTTGAAATTGGCGGCCTAAAAATTCTATAGTTGTTTGTAGAATTTTTTTAAACACGCAGGTTTGCAACATTTAGATAAATGTAGTTGTATATTTTTTGAGTTTTTATTATGCGAAATTATCCTGCAAAGATATTCTACAAATAATTTTCATAGTTCTTTTAATCAAGAGAGAATTGTGATATTAAATATAACTTGAATAAATATATTCTTATTCGATCTTTAATTTTTATAAATAATTTCAATTAAATGGAAACTATACAGACTCCATCACATTTTGTGAAGTAAGTTCACTGTTTGTTGAATGTATAATAAATCTAGATGGTTAAACGATTTGTATAATATCCACAATATGTAATTTATTGTGTCATCTCACTCCGATAACTTTTTAATTATAATTTCAATTTGCAAATTAGCCGCTTGCTCTTTATGGCTGTTTCAATAGATTTTTTTCCTGTATTTGAATCTGTAAAAATACATTACTGCAAAACGGATATGTACACATACGTGTTTGAAAGCTTTTATTGATAATTATCCATCTAGAGAATATTGAAGTCAAGGACGTCTATTGATATGTGCATGTAAAAGTTTATTTTTCAGCATAAAAAACAATCAATATTCATATGGCGGCTTCAGCAAAATGTATAAAATACAATACTTAAATTCAGATAATAAAATTTCTATAAAAACCACAGATACCACAGACAATATCCATTACCATGAACCAAAAGTTAATTTATTTTTGTATGCACGGCACGCCTTGTTGTACAAAGCTCGTATAAAAAAGGAGATTGGAGAAAGAAGAATTTTTGTTCTTATTTTCTTATTTAAACTTAACCAACATTAAATTACTCGTAATGACTAAGCTGGAACTTTTAAAATAATAACAAACGATACGACGCAAATGTATCTTGTGTACTGATTATAGTGTTAAAAAATGATGATATTAAACTTAAAGTTTTAAGCTAAAGATACACTAATATTGACGCTTGATAAGAATGTTAAGTTGAGAAGAAAAACGTTTAAAGTTCTACTATAATAAATTTACTAAAATTGCACTATTTGCAGATTTTTGAACAAATATGGCATACCTATTAAAATATTTTCAAATGAGAATTGCAAATACGGATTGAAATTTAATTAAAACAGTTGTGATCAATATAAAATTTCATTTGATTACAATACCAACAGTGGGGACATGTAAAATTGCGCCTTACGGCAGCCCTCCCAGCGTAAGCCATTGGGCCATGTTCGACCACTTTCGAGACAAACCAACTGACAAGCAAAAACCCATCTCCGTTCCTTGGACCAACCACCCTCCAAATTAGCGGGGGGGACAGATGTTCGCCCCACATTCTCCAATCACTCCTTTCTTTCAGACCGTTACAACCCCCATGCTCAACCCACGGATGATGACTTACAGGGGGTCGCACTTTGACCATCCACTTCGAAGCAATTTCGATCTCGTACCGCCGAGGTAGGGAAACTCCGTACCGCCAGATCTACTATCTTCCGTGCTCTCAAACAACATGCACCACATGACTCAACCTTTTCACATCCATTCCAATCGGGGAGTCGCACTTTGACCATCCACTTCCGAAGCAATTTCGATCTCGTACCGCCGAGGCAGGGGAACTCCGTACCGCCAGATCTACTATCTTCGTGCTCTCAAACAACATGCACCACCGTGACTCAACCTTTCCACATCCTTTCCAAACGAACAAACGGGGGGTCGGACCATTCACTTCCGAAGCAATTTTGATCTCGTACTGCCGAGGCAGGGGACTCCGTACCGCCAGATCTACTATCTTCCGTGTTCTCAAGCAACATGCACCACCGTGACTCAACCTTTCCACATCCATTCCAGACATTCACCTTTGTTTCGTACTGCCGAGTCAACTAAGCGTCCGTACTGCCAAACTCCATCCCTCCGGCCGCCGCGCCGGGTTCAAAAATCCAATTCTGTCGTAATCTGTATATGCAGCGCTACAAGCCACGACATCAGGCCTGAGGGTCTCCGGCAGCAGAGCGCTGGGCCCAAGCAGCTCCCGCTATGTACCGAATCCCTTTTGTGTCAACCCGTTTGCCAACTCTCCAAGAGAGTTGCCCAGTCACGCCACGAGGAGGCCGGTTGACGTAGTGACCCAACAGTGGGGACAGTGGAAATCTCAACTACTTGGAAATAAACTACAACACTGCAGCACATGTTTAATATTGCAAAACTATAATTCATATTATTGATGTTTCCGAAGAAAAACTGCATGAATATCTAAAATATTTGCAATTCTTTTTCAATTAAATAAAATATTCTCCATCCTTTGCTATTTGAGGTTTTTCAAGTAGAATTGAACATGTTTTGGTCTCCAACAGTTTAATTAATATTTTCATAAGTGGGACACAGTATTTTGGATCCCAAGCCAAAGCATTTCCGATTCACAAACATATATTTAATCTATCAACTTACATCCAAATCGCTAATAAATCGTACATAAAACTCGTTAGCATATAATATCCTCAGGTGCAGCTGTACAATTATTTTCGTTAATTGACTCGATCATGATATTGTTGAACTTCCAGTCGAAACACCCTTCTTCCGCACATAACACGTAGATRGGCACAGCTGAATCTAAAGTAGTTCCCTTGATGTTCTCTAAAGTTAAATCGACTATTGGAACATTGTTCTTTGGATCGGGCGGTGAGGTTGAATTTGTAGGATCCTGATAGTTTTCGTGAATTATCACACCATAGCGTTCAACTCCTTCGAATTCAATGTTACTGTATGTGACATTCCGTATTAATCCTGGGCCGCCATCTACATGCGTTTTTATATGAATAGCCTGCCGACCACCGCTTAGAAACGCGTTTCTAATCGTCACATTCTCAAGAGTGTTCTGCTCCAAGGAGTCAGTGGTGAATCCTACTGAGAGACTTAAGCCATAACTGTGATAGCAAGTCATGTCTTCCAGTAACATATTTACACCTTTTCCAGAAAACCAAGAGTTTTAAATACTTAAATTTTACAAAATATATTGATTACCGCATCTTAGAGCCACGCAGTCATCCTGGTTGAAAACGTATGAGTTTCTAATGACAATGTTGGTGCCGTTCCAAACATCAAAACCATCAGTGTTCTTCGCTTTAGGGGTCTTAAGAAGTTAATGTTAAAATTAGTTTTCAGGGAATGTTTTCTCCAAACTAACCCCATCTCCAGCCTCGCTATCAATCACCCAGTCAGAAAGCTCCACATTGGAAGAATCGGATAAAATCGCACAATGCATCGGCGGATTTAGAATGTGCATCTTGGTCATAATGGAATTATGCAACTGCATGACGAAGAAAAACGGTTTAGGGCTACCCCATTCCCCAAGACCATCCCAGTAAAGTTGGCCTTGTCCATCCAAAATAACATCTAGATATCATCCGAAAATAGTAAAAAAAATCCATTAAACTGGTCAAGCGATTTACCATCTTCACTTAAAATAATAGCGTTGCTGGCATTAATAGCAACAAGAGGACCTTCCCATTCGGCATGACCAAATGTGATATTGCCCGCAAAAATCACCGTCGTATCGTCTCTTAGATTCAGCTCCATAATTTGGCCTCCTGGTACCTCAAAGCTTCCCATCACTATAACACTGCATTCTTCAATGGCGAATGGTATATCAGCAAAATCAGTTACTGTGCATCCTATAATTGCGTTTTCCATTAAAATTTCTAGACAATTTACCTTTAATTGATTGTACCTTCTTTGATTTCGCCCCTTGACTTTAGGCCACTCCAGCCAAAAATTTGCTGTAAAAACAGGACCAAACACCACAATGAAATATTCCAGACACTCATTTTTACACTCGACGTTGGAGTCGATTGCAAATGATAATGCAAATCTGCTCATCGAGTTCAGCGCTTATATTTGATACATGAGTGGCGCGTAATAAGACAAAATGCGTATCTGTGTGTTCGATGAAAATCTGCCGATGAGAGGTTTCTTCATGCCTCGAAGTGCCACTTAATTTTATTTTGGAAGAACCTTGAATAAAAAACTCAACATTTTAAATTTATTCTGCTACATTTAAAATAATCTATCCAGAATCGGGGAACTTACTCAAGATATAAATGCCTCAACTTTTGTGCTCTAAAACTCAAAATAGTTGTACACAACTATTGATAGTTTGCTTGTTGAAACCATCGGGAACTTTCTAATGCTTAGACCACTAAAATTTGGCGTTTTATTTGCATCAGCTTTAACTAACAACATTGTTTGACGACGAATGCTTATTAATAAATCTGCACGTGTCATATTTCCACATTTTCTGCGTTCTAAACGATGTACAATGTATATTCAGTATGCATCAAAATGTAACTATTTTTCCATTTGATTGGTGCTAATTTGAGTAAAGCTATATAAAAATCGTTAGCATATAATGCCTTCAGGTGCAGCTGTACAATTATTCTTGTTAATTGACTCGATCATGATATTGTTGAACTTCCAGTCGAAACACCCTTCTTCCGCACATAACACGTAGATGGGCACAGCTGAATCTAAAGTAGTTCCCTTGATGTTCTCTAAAGTTAAATCGACTATTGGAACATTGTTCTTTGGATCGGGCGGTGAGGTTGAATTTGTAGGATCCTGATAGTTTTCGTGAATTATCACACCATAGCGTTCAACTCCTTCGAATTCAATGTTACTGTATGTGACATTCCGTATTAATCCTGGGCCGCCATCTACATGCGTTTTTATATGAATAGCCTGCCGACCACCGCTTAGAAACGCGTTTCTAATCGTCACATTCTCAAGAGTGTTCTGCTCCAAGGAGTCAGTGGTGAATCCTACTGAGAGACTTAAGCCATAACTGTGATAGCAAGTCATGTCTTCCAGTAACATATTTACACCTTTTCCAGAAAACCAAGAGTTTTAAATACTTAAATTTTACAAAATATATTGATTACCGCATCTTAGAGCCACGCAGTCATCCTGGTTGAAAACGTATGAGTTTCTAATGACAATGTTGGTGCCGTTCCAAACATCAAAACCATCAGTGTTCTTCGCTTTAGGGGTCTTAAGAAGTTAATGTTAAAATTAGTTTTCAGGGAATGTTTTCTCCAAACTAACCCCATCTCCAGCCTCGCTATCAATCACCCAGTCAGAAAGCTCCACATTGGAAGAATCGGATAAAATCGCACAATGCATCGGCGGATTTAGAATGTGCATCTTGGTCATAATGGAATTATGCAACTGCATGACGAAGAAAAACGGTTTAGGGCTACCCCATTCCCCAAGACCATCCCAGTAAAGTTGGCCTTGTCCATCCAAAATAACATCTAGATATCATCCGAAAATAGTAAAAAAAATCCATTAAACTGGTCAAGCGATTTACCATCTTCACTTAAAATAATAGCGTTGCTGGCATTAATAGCAACAAGAGGACCTTCCCATTCGGCATGACCAAATGTGATATTGCCCGCAAAAATCACCGTCGTATCGTCTCTTAGATTCAGCTCCATAATTTGGCCTCCAGGTACCTCAAAGCTTCCCATCACTATAATACTGCATTCCTCAATGGCGAACGGTATATCAGCAAAATCTGTTACGGTGCATCCTAAAATTGCGGTTTTGAGTAAAGTTCCTAGACAATTTTCCTGGAGTTGGTTGTGCCTTCTTGGATTTCTCCTCTTGATTTTAAGTCACGCCAGCCAAAACCCTGCCGTAGAAACAGGATCGCAAACCACAAGGAAATATTCCACACACTCATTTTTTCACTCGACGTATGAGTCGATTGAAAATACTAATGCAAGTCTGCTCATTCTGTTCATCTTATATTTAATAAGTGAGTGACGCACAATAAAACAAAATGCTTATGTTTTCGACCAAAATACTCGATCGAAATCTGCCGATGAGAGGTTTTTGCATTCCTCCAAGCGCCACTTAATTTTATTTTGGAAGAACAAATTAATAATAAACACATTTTAAATTTATTCTGCTACATCTAAAATAATATATCCAGAATTGCAAAATTTATTGAATATTGAATTTGAAAATTTAAAATTGTTTCAAAAAACTATTGATAGGTTTATTTTTATTTTCATAAACTGTGGCTCTAATTTGGATTAACTTTGATCAAAATTTGTTTGACTGCAAAATATTATTAATAAATCTGCTCGTCTTTTGTCTATCACTTGAATGTCAGGCGACAATGTTTTGTCTTGTCTTCTTAAACAATTTCCATTTACCTTTTAGGAGTTTTGCAGCATTTTCAGAAATCATGTTTTTATAACTAAAATCAATTAATTTTAGAAGCAATAGTTCACTTAAACATCAAATATTCTGGGTTCATTTGGCTTAACAGGAAAAAGCTCTCAAAAATAATTGCAAAATAATTTTGATTTAATAAGCATATTGTAGATTTTTCAGAGTCTGATTTATACAAAAACCAAAGATGACTAAAGGCTCCCGCTAGATCGTGAAAAGAGACCCAAGAAATTGCTTAGTCTTTGCAAGAAAAACGTAATTTTTACGTTCAGTTGTTCCACTAAAGTGTAATAAATTAACTCTATCACTAAATACTAAATGCGGTTTCGATAAAACGTTCTCAGTGTTCACGCAAAACGGATGATCATTATTTGAACATATGTAAAACTCATTCAAACATATGTAAAACATAACCACAACACAAGACAAATATCTAACAACTTTCTTGCTCTACCTGAAAAAAATAATCGAACCATTCATCTTAAGTTTCTTAATTATGTAGCCCCAAAATTGTATAATTTATTGCCAAGTATAATAAGATCAATAAATAACTTCAATTTATTTAATAAAAAATTTAGGGAATATATTACTATACACAGGAACACATTTGTTCAGATACTTTCTCAAAGTTGAGTTCTGGGGAAAATGTTTTAAGTTGCTAATTTTAGGTAAGAATATACATGTATCGTAAGCTATGTGGATTTCTGTTGAACCAGGACAGAAAATAAAAATATGATTACTGATATAAAAAAAAATTGTAACCTCAAGAGTACATACTTAAGGTACAAGGTATCTGGGTACTCAACAAATAATTTTTACATTATATGAATTGTAAATTGACAAATAATTTTCTGTTTACAATTAACTATATTCTGTTATTTTTAATAAATTTTGAATTTGAATTTGAATTATTTGGCTGAAAAGTTAGGCCAGAATTATAAATAGTTTGCCAAATGAGCATTTAAGGGAATTAAATTAAATGCCACTTGGTTTTCATCGATTATTAGCTAACTAATTGTATGTGTTTCATTTCAAATAATAGATCTTGAAGATCAAAAAAGCGCCCTCAAAACCCCAATGAAGAAAGAACAAAACATGGAAATCACTATTAGAAAAATCGAAGAGAGCAGCGAATAGAAAAAATGTAAACTATTAAATCTTCTTTATAACACCAAATCAAATATTATTAATATGGAACCGTGTCTACTCTTTTAAAATATAATATACCTCCCCTTACAATTCACGCTGAACCGGGGCAGATACGAACAAAATCCAAGAGTCAAAAAAAGGACCGTTAAAAAAAGTTTGGTATAGTAAAAATAGCATAATCCCAGAAAAATGAATACGATGAGAATTTAACAATCAAAATCAATTGCCATGTCTAATAATGTTTAGAATAAGAAATTAGTTTTAATAATATGTCAACAACTCTAGAAGCTAAAAAAAAACTTTTTAAAATTTCAAGCGTTCAAGCGAAAGATGCAGCTTTTCCACGAATCATACATTGTCTTGCCCAATTATGAATATTACAGATAAATCTATAGAAAAACTGATAGAACTTATGTTTAATTCCTTGCTTTTATCGATCGTTTTGTTGAGTCATTTTAGCACAGTTCAGAATCAGTTCTTACCTGAAATCTCTTTGTTATTTCTTCTTAGCAAAATGTTTGTTCCCGTTGCTATTTTCCTTTATTTTCTGATTTTCAACCCCCCTACTTTCGATTATTTTGTATTGACGTTAATTGTTGGTTGCTGGTGCTAATTGTATGCTATTGTATGGTAGATTGTGTACAAGAAATAATAGTTTATTTGTTATAATGGCACTTTCAGACCGAATTTCAGTAGCAGCAGAAATACGTTCAAAAAATTATATACATTTCAATTAAAATTTAAAGTCTTACAAAAACAATTTATTAAGGGTTTTATTTTCCGATTACAAAAGTTTGCTATTTTTATCTAACAAGTTCGCTGGAATTATCGGTGCAACTGTATCCATCGGGTTCAAAGTTACACTTATTCTCTTGTTCTCCGGTTATGCGAACTCCGGACCAAATCCAATTAAAGCAGCCTTCATCAGCGCAGATAATCTCGACCGGTGTTGCTGAGCTTCCAACGCTTCCAGTTACATCTTCAAGAACCAAGTCTCTAATTGGTATGTTATTCTTTGGTTCCACATCACTCAAGGTATCCGAAGGAGGCTTGTTTTGGTAATTTTCTTGTATCAGAATTCCATTGTAAGTGATCGCTGCAGTAGAAAGTACAAAACAGAAATTATTCATTCGGGACTCAACGGTTCTTAAATTCGTTTCTACCTCGCATGGTTATGTTTTTATAAATCACCCCCGTGATATTTCCAATGCCTCCATCCACATGCGTTTTGACGTGGATGCCGTTCCGTCCACCATCCATGACAGAATTTACAAAAGAAACATTCTGGATAGTGTTAAGTGCAATTGAATCGTTGCTGAAACCCACTGAAATGCTCAGACCGTGACCTCCATGGCAGTACAAGTTTGAAACCGTAATATTCTCTCCTGAAAATATTTTCACAATAATTCAACAATCGGTTCAAGAGTTTAACGATAAAGTTTGTGTTGAAGTGCTTCGAGTCCTAACTGATAACTTTTTAAAAACTTTTTTGAAAGCTTGAAAGAAAAAGCATTGAAAGTATTAACAACTTTTTCCATAATTACTCTATTTAAATCAACACACTAAAAGTGTTTACCACATCGTAAAGCTACGCAATCGTCTTGATTAAAGATTACGGAGTCCGATATGATAACATTCGTGGAGTTCCAAACATCAAAAGCATCAGTATTGTGTCCTTCTTTCCCTGCTTCAGCTATTCCCTAAATTCGAATACTTTTTAGTTCTACACCTTACACCAAAATTAAATTTATCTTGGAAATAGTTCACAAATACATACAGGATCTCCAGCTAAGTCATCAATGATCCAATTGGTAAAAAGCACATTATCCGAATTGGTAATCTGCACAACGTCTTTCGGACTGTTAATCACTTTAATGTCTCTGAAGGTGGAACCAAATGCCTCAATGGTAAAGAACTGGGGCTTGGAATTGCTCCAACCTCCTTGACCATCCCAGTAGGATTGTCCTAAGCCATCCAGCACTGAGTCTGAAGAGTAAAATTTTATTAATCTGTGGGGACTTAAAAAAAGTTACTTTACCATAATCGCCTCGCACAGTAATTCCTGTCCCGTTGATGGTCACCAAAGGCCCATCCCAATGTTCGAACCCAAAAGAAATGTTGCCTCGGAAAATAACTTCAGCGCCTTCAGTCAGATTCAGTTTCAATGTTTGGCCAGCCGGTACTGCCAAATTGTCCACAATTATTTGCTGGCATTTCACCGCTTCTTCGACGTCGTCGAATGTGGACAATATACACGGTTCACTTGAAGTGTATTGCAAAAAAGCAATTAGGCACAATGTAACTATGGAAAATGCCAGCATTTTCAAGTGATGCCGCACGTTGCTAGTTTATGATCTACTGTTTATGTAGAACTCATTATTTATATTCGCTTTAGTGTATCAGGTACTCGGGCTTCATTACATGTAAAGCGACGTCACATTCTGGTAATCAGTATAAGGCTGGAGATAGAACCAATATTCCAAGTGTTTTTGATTGCTTAATAATTTGGAAAAAACCACTTTTGCTGCTGCAAGTTAACTCGCTATATTTTTATATGAAATTGTACAAGCAGGTTTATAAAACAATTGGGTACCTACTAAAATTTAATTCGACAACATTAAATTAGTGTCTAGAACTAGCATCAACTATCATCAGGTTTCGAAGAAGCCACATCTTGCCGCTTCAGCCAACACAAAATGCTGATCCAGGCAAAAGAGCAGGTTCCCACATAAGTCACCCTGTATATGCTGGGAACCAAGGAAAAATTAATGGCTTGTCCTGGTAGCCAAAACAAACAGTTCGCCAAAAAGGTATGGGCAAATTTGCTCTTGCATTCAGCTAGCAGGTCTTCTTTATGTTCTAAAATGCTCATCGCTGAAAAAAAGTTTTTGTTTTAGATGCAAAAATACTGAAAATGAATAATAAGGTTGTTAAAGAAAGTAGTACCAAAGATACCAAAGATGTATATGTAAAGATAACAAACAATTTTTCGGATAAATTCGTCTTGAATGCTTTGTACTGTCAAACATGTAAGCCCTATGAAAATTTGCATACATTTAATCTTCATCCGGTGCTCCATCAGCACCTCTTGAAAACGCCCACCCAGGCCAAGAAAAGGTTAAAAATATGTTCTTTGCAAAAAAAGACAAAATATTTTTCTGAACTTAAACACATTCTGGGATTGTATGCAAAATGTTTGAAAAGTTATAAAAGTTGGTAACTCGCCTTCATTTTGCATTTGTCTGGCTGTGTTTTATTTGTCGTGTGTCTTTTAAAATACTTAGGTATGTACAATAAATTGTGTTTCCATAAATCCGAAGTGTTTTCCTATTCAACCTTCTTCCACTCTTTTTCTTTTAATTTTCAAGTATTTTATTCACTTTGAACTTCGGATTTGCTGGTATTGTGAAAGATTACTGATTCGACAAAACATTCAACCTGCTTTATACATTTTAAAAATTTGCATCAACTAAAAAACGCTTTGGCTATTTTTAAAATACTATTGATTACTTACTAACATAAAAGATGACCAGTAGCTGAGGTGTGAATAAAAACTGGTCAATAAGCATTTTCTTAACGACAACTTTTGCTGTTGCGCCTGGTAGTTTCTTGTCTAGATATCTATACCTGTTCAAAGAAAAAACATTGTTATAAGTGATATGGCCATCAATATTTCAATTCAAATAACGTACGATCTCGATAATTCGGACCTTCAGTAAACCAGATTCTTCTACAATCCGATCTTGGATAATAAATAATAATTGATTTTTGATAAAAGCATAAAAGTTTGAACCCAACATTTTTCGTTCGTCAAACGTTAAAATATTAAAATCCATTAGCTTAAAATGTTTACTGACAGCAAATAGCCAAGGCTTCAAAAGAACTTTGTTTTACACCAAAATTGGGAACTCGGCTCAAATATGACCACACATTTTTTCATTTTTCCTAATAGGTATCATAAGAACCGTTTTTTCACCATTGGGTAGATAGTTTAAAACCCCATTCACTAAGTGGTACCTAAGTTAGCAAATAGTTTCAGTTTTCACACAATTCATGCACATCTCCACGATTTTGGAGATATCTTGGGTGCGAATTGAGTTAGGGCCCCCATTTCTACACTACTGAATAGACCACTAATTGTCCATTTACGAAATTTTTGGGAAATATTATGTATTTACATAAAATTCAATATTTTAAGCTGACTTTTAGGTTTAAGCGGTTTGGCCCCAATTAGGCTCAAACATACCGTCGCTTTTTTCGCCACATCTCAAAAACCATTTGAGCCACAAAGACGGGTTTTCTTCCACCGGAAAGAGAATTTAAAACTTCATTCAATCAGTAAAACATGAATTTGGAAATAATGGTAGTTTTCCCGCAAAAACACAATATTTACATTACAAAAAAAAAATACGAGATGACAAAATCTCATGCACAACGTGAAGGCGAGATAGGCCTTTTCGGCAAAATTGCGTCGGCTTTTGAGCCGAACGAATATGACGAAAAAAGCCATTTCAGGATATTGATGACATTTTTTACCGCTGGAGGACTCAAATACGACTAAAGAACACCCTAACAGTGATAACGAAGGTCCGGAAACTAACAGTGCAAACTCAACTATTAGGAACGAAGAAGGAGAAAAGTTTCAGTTCTTGTGTTAAAGCAAAGCAAATCAATAAGAAATAACAAATGGTTAAACAAATTAATACTGCATCATAAGTTTTTCATTTTTTCGTCAATTACACAATTCTTAAAACCGTTTTTTTATAATGTACCCGGTTTTAATGGATTCCGATTATCGAAGTCGCATTGGATGAGTAAAAATACACAACAAACTATGCTTACATTTCAAGAATTAGATAAGAAATTCATAAAATTATGTATGAATTACATTTTCATTGAAAATTAATACGAACCTACCATACTGCCAGCAAAGGCCCGCCTATTCCAGTTCCATAAATTCCATATCTTCCTATAGTCTCCAAGTCCAAAGGTTGCGATGGTTTATTCTAAAAAAATATCTTTATTTGAGCTTCTATGCGAAAAAATGTGAAAGCTTCATAATAAATCCAACAATCAGATTTTAGAGAGTCAATATATTTTGGTTGGTAAAGGTAAAAAAGTTCCTAATTTCACTTCAAAAGAAGTATCGAATCTTAGATTAGTCTTCATTTTTGGAAACCCCTCTAGGCAAAGCTGATAAAATGTAATTCGATTTTAAATATTTTAAAGTGCTTATACTGAATTTCCCATCGGTTAAACGATTTCTTTAATGAAGCAGACAAAAGTGGAAAACAAAGTTAGGAAACTTAAATTTAAAATTTAAATTACAATGACTACGAGAATAAATTTAAATCGAAATTAACGCCGTTTTAAAATTATACATGAACAAAGTCAAATATATTAAGTAACTACTTAATTAACATTTTTAAAATTATGAAGTTTGATCACTATACATATTTCCAATAATTATGAGATTAGCTTAATTACTGCTTCATTTATAGCGGGAAACAATAATTTTGGGAAACAAAATTTTGGAAGTTTAATTACTTACCAATATTTTTTTGTTGATGGTTTGTTGCGACGCTTCAGCAGCTACACATAGTGTACCATAAACAACCGAATTTCCTATTATGGGATGTTTTTCCAGCACAGTTCGGAAGAGAACTCGCAACTTACTCATACTGTAAATGTCTACTTTCCACTCTTTTGTCTGTAAAATAAAATTGATCATATTTATATGTTTGAATATTTCCAGTATTTTACATCAAAATTGTTACAAATTTGTATTAAACCTTTTTACAAAATGCTAACGGAAATAATTTAAAGGAATTAGAAAACTTTGAAGTACTGAATTGATTAGGTATAAAATATCAAGTATTCAAATGCATCTAGAGAAAAAATACACGTCAGTACGGAAAAATTGAATCAATAACGTAAAATAAGGAAAGTAAGAGGAATGAGAGCATGTCAACAATCACAGATATATTTTATTGATTAACTTCTAATTTTTAATCTTAATAGCTAGATACATACCTCAAGTTATTACTCTCAATATACATATGCAAGTTTAATGAATATTTTAAGCGTGCACTTCCTTCATTCACATAACAAATCAAATTATAATTTTCACTACATTATTCCGTATACTGAAACATTGGATTTCTTATCTTATTACATACCATCAAACTTGTTTCGAGTAAAACGTGAACCTTGAGGTTTATCTATACATAGACTCAGTTAACGATGCGTTATTAAATGAAAGTAAAAATGCGGTCTGAAAGATTGGTTAATCCAAACGCCGCACATTTGTTCCATATTTAAATAGATTTAATAAATTGTAAATTAACAATAAATTACCTACTTGCTTGATCGATTAATCGCTCGAACAGTAGCTCTACAAGGCATCGATGATGGTTAACTGAAATTTACGGGTTTGGCTCTACCGAATAAATTTGCCTACTAAACGTTTTAAATTGGATTAAATTAAGCTAGTCACTGTTGGATAGTACAATAGCTTCCATTTCCAGGCATATGTATAATATTGGCTTGACGAAAACGTGCGTTTATATTTTATTGCGGAATAGAAGCGTTTCTCTGCGGTTAATTAAACTAGTGTTTTTGACAACTTTATGAAACTTCTAACTACATTAAGCAATTTCTGCGTTTAGTAGTGTTAACGCGAGGATAAATAAAGAGTATCCCACAACTAAATAAGCCTCTATTTGTAAAAGAACTCGCAAAAATACAACAGAAAAACTCGCAAATACGCTACAGATGGCTTGTTCTTTTTATTGCTTCTTCCATTATTTTATATTCTTTCGGATATTACTTGACTTCTTCGTTTCAACAAAAATGTTAAATTACTCTGCAGCAACTGTTCAGTTGTTCAGTTTAAACCGCAGTGTTTCAAAGAAGCTAAAATTGAATAGGTAAATAAAACACCGATTTGTTACTTGTTTTTCAATTTTATTTTTTAAGCATTTTTTTGCAAAACTGACACTATTTTATGATTTATTTCAATTTCGCAAATAGTGGTCGACAACGTTCTCTTCAAACCACTCCCATTCGAACCTAAGATGATTTCCAGATGTAGAAAGAAACTTTAAACGATTGTCTTCATTCAGTTGCTTCAAACCAAGACGATCCTGAAAATCAAACGTAAGTTTTTTTTTCCGCTAATTGTTTATTTTATTCACTTCAGTATATATAGCTGACTCTTGTAAGGTTTGCTTCTCCACAGACTGTCCCGGTTTGTAAAAACCAAACCATTCAGTGTCCACAGGTTGAACAACAGTGTCATTATCGAATCTGATTAACACGAAGTTTTCCAGGCCCTAAAATGAATTCAATAAGAATAAATAGGAAATTTCATATTCAAAAAATACATGGTTCAAAAATATGTAAAACAATGTCCAATTAATGAGTTCAGCTTTCATTTATTGTAAAGGGCTTTACCCGCAAATAGTTTTACCCACCTAAAATTTTAACTTTTTTGTTCCAAATACGTTATTTTGTTCAAACTTGTAAAACATTTTGATTAAAATTCACTATTTTTGGCTCCATAGCATTAAAAAATTTCAGTTTTTCAATGATTCTTTACTATCCGTTAGAATGCTTCTAGAATTCGAAGTGAGAAATCCTCCGTTATATAATTCCTCACTATCCCATACTCACTACAACTTATATATCACATTTTATGAAATATTTTAAAATTAAATTCACATTAATGCTGGTCCTATTTCTCTCTTTATTCGCATCTAAATCGACAATTGTTAACGAATTAAGCTGCTGCTGTCTAAAAATGCCGTTAGAAGACAATAAATAATGAATTTAACTGAAAAATGATTTAAATGAAAGCAAAAAATATAGTAAACAAAATGGCTATAATTTGTTGGCTCTATTCTAATGGCTAATCTATTTTCAAAATTCACTCATTAAAATCCACGCAATGTTTCATAATATACATACATGCGTTGCTAAAGCTACTCTGACACAATCATTGTAAAATATTTAGATTATTCCTTAGCCAAATCAAAGTCTGAGAAACAAATTCAAAAAAGGTTCTTGAAAACTAGCAAAACCAGAATTTAGATCAATACGATTTTGGATTTAATGAGCTCATTTGCGATGCATTTAACTGCAGAAAAGTAAGTTTTATAGCGGTAATTACCAACACGAATTCGCAATTAATCAAAATACAAACTAATCAGACCATGTCTAAGTCGAAGTGCTGGTGGACGTTTTTAAAATATGAATTTTTAAGTAGACATAATTTTTTAAGCTGTTTCAACTGAAAAAAATTGCAGTGATTTTCAAAATTGAGCAATTAAAAAATATATTTTGTGGTTTTATAAACTGAAATAGAGGGAATGAAGAAAAGAGCAACATTCATTACGTGAAGGGCGCACAGAACCTAAACATGTAGAAACCTGAACATCTAAAACCCGATAAAACATCAAAACTAAGTGCATTTAGATGTTTTTTAAAACAACATAATTATGACACTGGATTATTTTATAATCGAATGTTTGATGGATCACTGGATTAAGTCTAAATATAACTTTTTACTTGGAACATATTACTATAGCTTACCAAAAGATTGGTTTTGTATGTCTCGTTGATCACTAGCTCATTATTAATGTCGGCTAAGAACGAGCTGTTTTTCTTGTATTCTTCCTCATTCAAAGGATCATGCCAGTAGGTAGCTTGCACCAAACCTTTTTGCACCCAACTATTAAAATCCACGAATGATCAGTATAGACAATTATTGTTTTAAATCACTTACTCAATGTAAGCTGCATGGTTGAGCAATTTCCGAATGTAATCGCAAGCGTTATTCGATAAAGCTCCGCAGTTGGGCAGACCGTAAACTCCTTGGTGTTGTCCTCCGACTGAAATTAGGTTCTTTATACGCGGAGTTGGGCATCTTTGCACTAAAGCTCTCCTGACAAAAATGTGTTGCAATTAGATCCTATCCTGATTCTAAACGTACGGTTGCATACAAAAATTGAGCTCCTTGCGAAAATCCTATCGCATTGAATCCATTGGCTAATTGAGAATCCTGCTGGATTTTTTCACAAGCCATCTCGATTTGACTGTCAGGATGCATAAAGTACCTAAAATTATTAAAACGAATTGAATTATTATTATATATCTACCATCCACAGATGGCAATTCCTACCCATTTTCAACATCCTCAAGGAAATTATCACCGATTTTCAATGAGTGCACGTAAACTCCAGGAATAGATGCATTCAGCTTTTCCTTTATGGCTCCAAGACTGTAAAATGCGCAGCAGGAATCACCTTAGATAAAACAAAATATTTTCATGTTGGATGATTAAAGCAGACATTTAAATATTTCGAATTGCAATCGCGCTCATCATCGTCTGTGCATGCATATATAGAAACCTACAGGACGTGCTTCAAATGGTAAAATTATGCTCTCGAAAACATAAATGCGATGTTACTTTTTCATTTTTGGTGCTTTGGTGTGTAAGCCAAAAATACAGTTTTATTTGTTCCTTTGAACTATTAGGAGGAGCTGACGGTCATTTTGCAAATGCGGAAAATTTATTAAATTAACCACAATGATTTTGAACTTAAGATTTAGCAATTAGTATTAAACAAACTTAAATTGATTTGCATAGTGATGATTTGTAAATAATCCTGTTGTCCCTCCCTAATGTTTAATTTATTAGTAGCATAGAAAATAATAAGTTAAATACGCTTTAGATGTTTCTCAGAACGTTTCAGGAACTTTTTGAAACAGAAACGTACATTTTTGCGGTAACCGAGATCGTTAAGAAAAGTTTCTACAAATTCTTAATCGTATTTGGACACAATGGCTTTAAAATAATCAATAATATAGGAACGATGATTAAAATATACAAAAGAAGTATGAGAATATAATATAAAATGCGATCTAGAGCTCTTAATTTTTTTTCTTTAGCTCATTTAATCGATTTATATTGGTTATACATGCTTTGAAAATTTTGTATTGTAATATAATGCCAATAATAAATCTTGTTCATTAAACTAAAAACGTAATTTCAAGTTTACTGAGGTACCCAAATAAGTTTAATGGTTCTAGCGCAATAAATGTGTTTATTAATCAGTTATTTATCGCTGACACGGAATTTGTGCAAGCTACTTTTTAAATTACCCGTAAATATTCTGGGAACTACTTTGTTACTTAAGCTAAGAGGAACACGAGACCTGCTTACTAACGTAGTTACAACTGGTGAAAAATTCAACGTACCAGCAATTTTCCCGTCTATTCAAAGACTTTTGACACCGTTAGATAAAATCTGCAAAAATGTAGCAAATCTTACAAAAAAAATGAGTGTGCAAGAACAAATAATCGACCTAATAAAAACCAAATAAACCCTCTGTGCAAATGGATAAATTATCCAATTGTCATCACTGCCTATGTATCCTTTGCTCTACCTTCTTCCTCAATATTTGCTTTGAATGGCTCTGTAGAAAGGCACTCGACACTGGACGGGAAACTATCGATCGGACGCAGAAACATTTCCTATTTGCGTTACGCAGACGACACAAGTCTGTTAGTGCAGTCAGACAACCAGTCATTTGTTCAACTAATTGAATATTACGGCGCATTAAAAAAAATACAAAAGGACAATAAAAATAAAAACACACAAGGGAAGTAAACAGCCTGGGAGCTTGCATTACCGATGGAAGGAATATTGAAGGAAAATTAAAATATTCATTGGAATGGCACTGAAATAAAAATTTGAATGACATTAAAATTGAAATAAAAAATTACGATTGATGTATTTCCAAAGGCAACAAACGCAGGGCCATGAATTTTTAAGGTCCTTGCTGAAGAAAAATTGGGAGGTTTGAAATGACCAGCTATAGAAGAATCTTAAAAATAAGCTCTCTCTCTTACGGCCATGTTATGAGAAATGATGGGATCGAAAATCTGATAAATGGGAGAAGTAGCGAACGATTGACCAGATGCAAAATGTATGGATTTTTATATGTATTTATTACTTGTATCAGGCAGGATCCACGTGTAGAGAAGTATTTTAGAAGTACATCGACTTTTTATGTTATCTGTCTGCCTTTAAGCGTTGGGCGATTAAAATAGATTTATATAATTGACTTAGATATCATTCAATGGCTAATTTCATTTTATGATCATCATTTCAGTAGTCTTATAGTCGAATAATTCATTTGCAGTTTAACATTATTGACTCTTTCTATTAGTTGTGCTGAGTGCTACCTATTGCAATAGTGTGGATAAATGATGAAAATCTAAAATTTGCTTAAGTAAGTTATTAACTTAAAGCTGAAATAATTGAAAAATTTAAGGATGGATGTTTAATTGAAATAATTGTCACTATTAATTAGACGAACCGTAAAATCTCCGGTAGACGACAGTAATCAACAGTCAGGTCATGGCCAATTAATTACGTATAGTGTGCAAATAGTAATTTATTTATATTTAGTTCAATATGTACCTATTCGAAAGGATCGTTTCGTTTTATTATTTTGGCTATTTTTAAAACTAATATGCGAGTTTACGGCTTCGAGAGCATTAAATTGGTATTATTAGTTTTGGTTTTCCACAGCAAATGCCTTGGAGCTCAAATGTTTTCAAGTACACAGTTTACAAATAATAATAAACTTTTTTATTTATAACTGGTTTTTCGATCTGGTTATATCTTCATGACAATTCGACTCAGCTAACCACACTTGAAATCAAGGAAGTAAATTACGTCTATAACAATGGAGGAAAAAACAGTAATTGTTTGGAAATTATCAGTCCTGGGCACTCCATAATGCAAGTCATAGAGATTGACCAAGTTGCAAAGCCAAGAAATAAGAAGCATGTTATTGAAAAATACCTGAAATTTCATAAAGGGCTTTAAAAAACTAAAGAACCATGATATAAAGAATGGAAAAAAGTACAAGCTAATAAATATCTAAATTGTTAAATGAGAAAAGAATGATTCTTATGTGAAAAGATCTGAAAGGTGATATTCCAGATCATAAGTTAAGTAGGCACAACAATGTTGTGAAAAGTGAGTACTGAAGCTGGAAATATTGCCATAAAATGATATCATACGGGCTGATTCGTATGTTTTTTCCAGAAAGGATGGAAGCAAAAACCATTCTTGATAAAAACCAGAATAATCGCAAAAAAGGAACATACGAAATTCATTTTGATTCAGAATTAAAAATATCATAATTCATAAATCAAGACTGTGAAATATGAATGACGATTCTGTTTTTATGCGCGCAGTTAAAAGCTTTTGTCATTATGAATTTATTTATAATCAGTCCATCAAGTTGAATCTTATAAGTTACGTAGTAATAATTAATAATTCATCGGAGTTCCAAACCGTACTTTCTCCGTACTGTAATACGTACTTAACAAAGACGATGTAAAACCATCCCAAACTGAAATGAAGCAACAATTTATTGAATGCTTGTAATCAACAAAGACTTGAGGCCTTGAACTCTGTTTATCGGAAGCGAGAAAATCGAAATCAAGACCAAAGAATTGGACTAATAGTACTACTGGCACTTACCCATTCCATGCCACATAACGATGGGTGTAGGTTCGTTTGCGACATTTTCTGCAAAGTAACTAAAAATCAGAAGCACTGAACAAGTAATGAATCTGAAATTGTTGCCTGCCGACATATTGTGCTATCTTGTAGCCACAACTCTGAAAAGTATTAAATAAATTGCATTAGTCTGGGTGGCTTATATGAACTGGTACTTGCGGCAGTACTTGTGAATTGCGATTAGTTTATCGGAGAGTGGCGATACCGAAAGACATAAATGATAATACGGAATTCCAGTCTACGCTCAGTTAGAACATATACAGACATACGAAATATCAAGTAGGTAAAATTATAGCACGCATTATTAGTATGTAATATCCTCTTAAGTGCATGATTCTCAATAAGTTACCAAAGATATGATTTGTGTTTTTTTAATAATCAAATACGTTAACTTACATATATGTACCTATCTAAAGGAGAATAACACCGGGTATAACAGTTGATCAAGATTCAAGATTTAGCTCTATTTAATATTTAGGTAATTCTTCTGGATGTGTTTCTATCACGGGTGGATCCAGAAGACTGGTCATGACCCCCCTTGTGCTGGGTTTATGTTGACTAATTGTATTTTTCCTGAATAAAATTTTCAAAATAAATACTTTGAATGATGGCAAACACCAACACGGATGACACGCATATTATGGAAATTATGCTGTTATTATAATTATATGGTGCATCACATAAGTAGCTCTATTAATACGGACCCGATTTGGATCATTGAAAACTCGTTCTAAAGCACTATGATTTTGTCTAAAAATCGTAATTTGCAAAATTGAAACTGGTTGAGAAATTTGAAAGTCATAAGCATTTTTAATGCGAAGGTATATTGAAGATTTTTTAAGACAAATGTTATCAATGTGTTTTTTGTTGATTTAAGCCCGTAATTTCTTTGGAAAAACTGCTTTATGATTTTTGCTTTTTGTGTGTAGAATTTTTCTGCATAATTCTGTTAATATATGTCCGATTTGGCAATTGTTAAATTTGTTGAAAAATGTACTATTTTCTATAATAACTGCATCTCGGAAAATTGCAATCGATTGAAAATCTTGGAAGTTATGATGATGTGAATGTCGAAAAGACGATTTTCTGAATAAAATATTTTGAATTTTAACCTCGATTAACTCATTTTCAAAATAGAACATCAGATTGTTTGCAAAATGTATTCTCGACACATTCACTGTCTATAACAAAATTTGGAATTGCAACAGTTTGGAAGGAAATGGGCTTTGAATATTGGCAAGCGTAAACCTTTCAAACTTGCATATTCTTCCACTCTTTAGCCTGTAACTCGGTCAGGTATCAACATTTTTCAGAAATTCAAAACTCTTTAAAATCCCATAGACGTGACGTAAAAAGTTCATTTTTGTCACCGTTTCAGCGCCAGGGGAGTTTAAATTTTCAAAGACCTGAAGCGCTGGTTGCTCCTGGAAACACGCGATTTTGCTACAATTTTAGCGGGGCAGTAAAATTTTTTAACCCCAAAATTTATTTATAGGAAAAACTCAAAATTATTTTTTTTTGAATTTTGGTAATTTTTCATTTTTTTGAAAACCGCAAATGCGTAAAATTTTCACTTACGATTCGAACCTAGACCAAAATGGCATTTTCCATTAACATGGTTTTCGTACATAGTTTCGGAGGAAATGAAATTTGGTGTTAGAGAGACTGCCAGCCACATTATTTGCACACTTTTTTGCCCATAACTCGACAACTCTTGGCAATATTTCGAAAAGAACATGCATTGGGTTGCCACGAGTATTCGCTAGAGTCAAGCTGTTTTGAAAAAAATCCACATTGACAACGGTAATGAAGATAATGAACCCTGAATGTTGGCAGCCGTTCGACTGTTCCATTTGTGTACAAATTTAAGGTGTTTGGTGCATTTAAGCGATTTTTTTTTCAGAGTTTTGATTTTTGTACAGAGAGAGTTGTGTTCAAAAACAATAGTAACTTAGGAAATTTTCGGCAAAAAAACTTACAATTTTAATTGCGAGTTTTTTTACTGCTTTTGACTTAAGGAGCTGCACAATTATACAAATTTAAGGTGTTTGGGGCATTTGGAAAGTTTTGATTTTTTAGAAAACATCTACCTCCAGTGTCATGAAATTTTCGGAAGAAAAAGAAGAATATTACATGCGAGTTTTGTGACTGCTTTCGACCTAAAGAGCTTCTCAGTTATGCAAATTTACGGAATTATCACTTATTATGCACAGTTTTATATTTGAAGTTTGAACGAATATATTCGAGGTTTGAGTTTGAGAAAGACACCCGCTGCATATTACAACCCATCACGTAAATAAAAAAAAGATAGATAAAACATCTAATTTTTTTCTTTAAGAACTTCAGAAAGTGATTTTTATCAGATAATGCGCGTTTTCAAATATCGTAAGAAATTACTCCAAAACACTGCCATGTAATTTTTGGAATTTTATAAAGACAATACTGAATGATCAAAAAATCTGCTTGAGCTTGCATTTGATTAGATTAGTGCTACTGACAATGAATAAATAAAACTATTTACTGACCCAGAAAAATGTGCAATCACTCGATACAAGCAAGTGTTAGTTTTAATTGGATTTGCTTAGAAGATTGGATCACACTAATAATAAGAACGAAGTTTAGACGAAACGAAAAATAAGATTATTGAATTTATTTGGAAAAAATGAACTATTTATCTGCTCATTATTTAATAAAAAAACCAATAGTTTCATCTATCATTTATTGGTTAACTTTTTGTGGGTTTGAATAGGGAACTTTTATGGAATATTTATTATTTTTCATTTACTTTGTCATTTGAAACCGTTTTGAACTTAGTTACTGACTTTGTTGGAAAATATACGCCAGTTTTATAGAATTTTTAAGAGTTCAAAGAAATAATACAACCGCTTAGGAACCTACGTAGATCCGTACGCCGCTTTTACAATCCATTGTGTCTATCAAATGACAATAAAAGCCATCAAGCAATATCATTCGCAAGCAGCAGAAATGATAAGCTATGAATGTCCAAAGAATTCAACCGTATCGTTTGGAAGTGATTTTGAAAATGGTCCGAGCTTGGTTTCTTCTGTTATTTCCATTATATTCGATAACGTGTACATGTAGATACACTTATCAATTGCTCGTTTCTCAGAATGTGAATAAATTAACGTTGACACGTTTCCATTGCAAATCAATGAACAATGAACTCAAAATAAGTCTGACGTCTTCACAAAACCAGTAATATTTTTAATTGCCTAAGCTAAGCAGGCTTTAATCGATGCATTGTTCTCCCTCAAGATAATTTTTACTACTTGGCCAAGTTATTGTAAATTGCCCAGGTTGTTTCCGTCCAATGTTATGCATATGTTTTTGTAGAATAGTCAACGAAAAATGTATTAAGAGGAAATGAATTTGGAAATAACCGATTAGAAGAAACACGGTAATTACGTGTTTTATTGAGCTTTCTGTTAATGGGTGCGAATCATGGTTGTATATTATCGCAATTAGTCATCACAAACTACTAAAAACAACGCGTAAACGAATACTAGTGTTAAATACATTCCGGGTCATATTAGTCATTCTCACAGGAAACCTGTATTTTTTTAAATCTTGAAATCGATGGTCAATCGTTCATGCAAAAGGCTAAGAAATGTTGATTTTGTCTAAAGTTTGTTGAGTTTTAGATCCAAACTTGCAAAGTAAGTAGGCAGGTAGTTCAACTGATACTAAATGTTGTAGAATTTATGGAGAAAGCATTTTCTTAAACTATTTTCTTTTCTTGTAACTCATTGAAGAGAAAGCTACTATCTAGAGAATTCCACATTTGTGTCAAATTTTTATGTCTCTAGCGAAATTCAAAACATTGAAAAATTTATAAAAAATATCAAATGTTTCCATACTTTTGTAAGACATTAAACAATGAAACCAATAGATTCTAAAAGACCACCCAAACGGGCATAGAAGTTGCACATGAATGAACATTGATCTATTGAAGACCGTTTCAATGGGCACCACCCGCGGTTATAACCGAGCTTATTACAAACTAGAGACGAGCTAAAGCGTGATTTGAAAATCACTGTTATAACTGTGAAAGTCATTTTTTTAACTGTAAATTTAACCTGTGATTGTGATTCCACTTGTGATTGCCGTTTTCGTGATATAGCAGCGTCATAAGGTGATGGCAATTGTGCGTCACTTGCAGAAACAATTTTAGAACATTTGTAATTCACATTTTTTAAATAAATAACTTTATTTGGGCATATGTACAACAAATAATATTTTATACTTATTAATAAAATAATTTATACTATCTTGGCGAAAATTTTCAGAATTTATGGATATTGTGGAATGTTGCATTCCATGTGCCGTTTCAAATTCAACGTACTGGTTTTGTAAGATAATTTTGCTCTGCATAAATTGCATTTTGTAAAATTATCATCTAATGCAGAAAAGAAATTCCGCAAAAAATAATTTTCCGTCGCTGAGAACAATACATAATAAACAATTTCAGTTCAAAAAAATTGACGAGACAGAAACACTAAGCGTATTCCTAGAAATTTATTTTAAAAATACACAAACAGGTTACCGATGCACAATTAGATTACGGGTAATGAATGGTGCATACTGAAATAGGTACCCAAAAATGTCCATAAAATGCATGGGAACCCGTGAATGCAATATTTCTTTAACGAACAAAATAATTTTATTTGGGTTCGTTCTTTCGCCGGGCTTACGTCGCTCTTTAATATCACGTTTTAAAATCACAGTTTATTTTTACGTTCTTCACAGATTGTTACGTTCTTCGCAGAAAACATCTCAGGTAGTGATGTGTTGCTCAACTCTAGCACAAACCCCTTCCAACCCGAAGAATCTGGGGTAAATTTGACTCACCCAAGCTGGTCTGTCTTTACAAGATCTTTACTCGTCTTTATCTGTGGTTGGGGGTGGAAATATGCCAATAAACAAGGGAAAAATCACTCGTGGTACCATTAGTTAGTTCCTGCATTAAATTTAGTGCCAGGATTAACAACAACAATTAGTGGTACTTAGTGCCAGTTTTTTAAATTATTCATCAGGTGAGTTTTCTCACAGAGTAGCCTTTTCAATATATTTCTTATTGTTTAAACGTTGAAGATAATGTTAATGAGTAAGTGTTTGTTACAGAGAATTAACTTTACTTTTCTTCTGTTAAGTCTTTATATTTATTTATCTATTTTAATATTAAACTGGTTTTGTTTAAAATCTATTTAGTCCTCCTAATCTTTTAAAGTCCAATATTGTAAGAGCTCCATTTAAAAGTTTATCTGAGTAATGATGTTAGGGACGGGTGCTGGCTGTGGATCATAGTGAGTAGTCTGTGATCCACATCCACAGTACCTAGTGGTCAATTGAGATTAGAGATGACACGAAATACTTGCACAGGTATTTTGGAACAGATATCGATATGGGACAGTCGGTACCTGTTATCGATATTTAAAATAACATGTGATTTGAAATAACAGGGCTCGCCTACGATGCTGGTCAGTACCAGAACATCTGGGATTTCGATATTTCAACAAAGCAAAAAGACAAATACCTGCCGTTGTGCCGTTTGGTTCCCCGCGGCGTTGTCAATTGGCCTGAGTTTTAGTGAAAGAATATATTTTATTCGCTTGAAGTGGTGAGGTTTTGTATCTATGGAAGTGGGACGAGGGACCTGATGATTTTCGAATCCATGCACCCATGATTCGGCAAATAGCAATATTCAATGAACAGAAAATATCGGGAACAGCGGTAACAGCCGTCTCCGATATTTTCTTTAATGTGACCAGGCCTGAGGGTCACAGGCTGTGACTGATTGACTGTTTTTTTCGGAATTCTGAACTGTTCCTTGTCCTCGGAACTTGTTCTTTTTCGACCAATAGCAGTGCTTCTGAAATAAAATAGCATTTGTTGCATCTACCCAGTGGAGTAGTGGACTAACTACGTTTAAATTTGTATATCCGCTATTTACTTAGTCTGGACATGTTTCAATATTTGTTTATATCACACATAGCTGAAGTATTAAATGGTCAATTTTCAATTAAACGATAAGATGAATTGTTATCAGTGATTAAGCATGAAAATAGAAGATAGGCAAAAAAATTTCACATTTTCCTGCCCTTAAGTGGGAAAGATAACAAATGTGGTCACTTTTTTGTGTTCAAATAAAGTTTCGATTAAATGGTAAAACGTTACTCATAAAACATGTTATCACTTTTTTTGATCATCAGCCCTTGCATACATAAAGCAACAAAATGCTCTTCGGTCATAATTTATCGCTGACCCAGCAGATTCGCACCCAAATTACCAGGAAGTGGCGTGGATTTCCTTCAATGGAACAATTAGTGCAGTCGGATTAGAGATTTTCCGGGCACTAAATAGATGAAAATTATTTTTATTTTATTTTTATAATTAATTTGGTTTTGCTTCAAAACATCTCACTATAACTTTTTTTGAAGTTGATTTTACTCGTAAAGAGTTGTACTACAACGTACAATAAATGAAAATTAACAAAACGCTAAAATTGACGTTTTTTTTTCGATTTTTTAGTAAACTAATGAACGGATTTTAATGTAGTTTATCTGATATSATAGGTATTTTTAATACTTGAAATARGGATGAAACTTTTTCAATMGCATCACCGGTTCAACAGTTATGCGCAAAAAACGGGCTTTCGCACTTTCTTTAATTATTTTTATATAATTTTTTATAAACAATGTTCCACAGCAGGAAATCGAGCACAAACTATTGTCTCAATATTCTGACATCCTTCCGAACAACTTCCAATAATTTTTTTTTTTACTTTCATATTTTTAGTGCCCGAAACAGGCCTTTTAAAGTGGAATCCGACTGGACTCAAAATACGCTTCAGCCTGGTTTCAGGTACAAACTAGGGATGACACAAACCAGTATTTTTCAGTCACAGGTTCCATATGTGACTGTTCCAAGCTCSTACCTGTTCCAAGTATCTGTGATTTTTAGKCACATGTTATTTTGGCCCTTGATAAATATTGGTTTGTACCTGTAACCGGGCTGAAGCGTATTTTGAGTCCAGTCAGATTCCACTTTAAAAGGCCCGTTTCGGGAACTAAAAATATGATGGTAAAAGTTTAGTTTAGTTTAGTTTTAGTTTAGTTAAAAGTTGTTCGGAAGGATGTCAGAATATTGACACAATGGTTTGTGCTCGATTTCCGGCTGTGGAACACTGCTTATAAACAATTATTTATAAATAATTAAAGAAGCCGTTTTTTGTGCATAATTGTCGAACTGTTGATGCTATTGAAAAAAAGTTTTATCCTTTTTTTCAAGTATTAAAAACACCTATGATATCAGATAAACTACATTAAAATCTGTTCATTAGTTTACTCAAAAATCGAAAAAAAACGTCGATTTCATCGTTTTGTTAATTTTCAATAATTAATTTAGTTTTGTTTCACGAAAATGGTACCATAACTTTCTTTGGTCAGTCAGTAATGAAATTTTCATTTACTGTACGTTATAGTATAACTCTTTACGAGTAAAATACAGCCTCAGAGAAGTCTCTCCGACGTCTCAAGAAAAATTTATTTAGAATCTGGCAAGAGCCCTTTTT